GGGCACAGGTAGCTATGAAAGCTCTTACATAAGTATAAATTCATGTGAAGTATCTTTTACTTATATTACCTTCCATCCCACATCTGAATTAGGTTCCTAGCCTTGATGAAGGCAAACAGTGAAAGTAAATGGAAAGATTCCTTTCTTAAATAGCATAGAATATGGTAAAAGAAGCTACATGGCATTTTAAGTGGATTTAAACCCTCCTGTTTGTAAGTGACGATGCAGTGTCTTGATTTGTTGTCAATATATTTAACCTTAGTGCTTTTCCAATCAAATTGCACAAATTTGTCATTTGTCCTTGGTAGTAAAGTGATTTTGACTAACCTAACCTGAAAATGAGCAAGAAGCAGAAAGGCAGAGACAAAGAGAGGGAAATTCTGGTTTGAGTCTGATCTCATTTTCAATGAGGTAAGTCAGGATGAAGCCACAAAGCACAATGGAGTAATCTGAAGGTGAAACAAATACATTTGATAAGAGTTTATCCCATCTCGTGAATGGATAAAGATGGCACAGTATGGAGCAATCATCTACACTTTGTCCTTAGAGTTCAGTATAATATACACTAATTATTTTTCATTTTCTTTCTTTCAGGTCCACCTGTAAGTACAAAAGCTCCTGTGTGTTTGTGAAGTATGCATCTGATGGTAATGGGGTAAAGGGAGTTGATGGGAAGTTAGAGGTAATAGTAGTCTCTTATCTGCAATGACCAATATTATATTCAACTTTCCTGTGAAAGTCTTTCACTACCTCTCAAACTGCAAGTTTTCCTTGTACTTAGTGCTGGATAGAAATTGCACAGATGCACCCATCTATCTTTGTGCAGTTCTGCAGCTGGGGAAGCTTAGTGGATAAGGTTCCATGGGTGCATCTATACATGCAATTAATGTGAAGTAACACATTCTGGAGCAGTTTGAACTGGAAACTGCTGCCGGGTGCTGGCATTCCAAGGAGAATTCACTTCTACAGCATTTTTTATTTCCCTCTTGAAATGCTGATAAATATTTAATATTCCATAAGTTTTAAAAGCTCTAGACTGAGCCCCAAAAGACATTTCACCCCACATAGTTTTAGCAAAAAATATCTTCCATTCTATGGGCTGTCTCTGCACAAGGACCCAAACGTTTTTCACAAACTGAAGGCTTGGTCCCAATAAGTCTTCCTCAAGCAAAGCTTCTAGTAACTTAAGTGAGAGTTCTGCCTAGCAGCTTGTGGGATTGGCCCCAGGACTGGGTGTAGAATTATATTTATGGATCAATTCTGAATTCCAGCTTTGAACTATGTTAAATCTGAGCAGATTTCAGATATGCATTTTTGTGTCAAGCTAATCTCATCAATTCAAGCCCAATCTGGGGGATGGATTGAGGTGGGAAGCTCTGCCCACAAACCTGGAATAGCTGGTCATCATCAAGATTCAGAGTGAAATTAATAGGTCAATTCAAAGTCTTCCAGGCAGTTTTTGCAAGCAGTTTGTGCCAAAAGCAATGTGTCAATTTACAGTCAGGGTTTTCTTTGGAATAATAAGGGCTAGAAACTTATTATTTAAATGAAAATTTCAAATCTGTCACAAATAAATGGGATCACCGGAAAGTGATGATGACAAAGTGCACTACTGTATAGCAATTTATTCTGACCCTTGAACCTGTTTCTATAGGCAATCATTTAAGATAGGAAGTGAAGAATACTATAGCCAACTGAAATAACAAGAGGAAATTAGGCAGACTGAATGTAATTAACCAAAGTAGAATTTCTCCTCAAATTTGTGACTAACCACACCCTACTCTCATTGAAGATCCCATAGGATTTTAAGTCATGGCAAGTGATGGTGGTTCAAAAATCACGACATAACAAAGTTCTTGTGTTCTTAACACAACTTCTTTATTCAAGGCTTAAACAAACTACTTGATGTAACATTGTGCAGGTTGTCCTACATATACTAGGGCTGTGAGAAGCTTCAGTAGCTGATTCAATTTGGAGGAGATTCGGCCTGATTCGGGGACAGAATCTCCGAATCTGAATTAAATTGGGAGACCAAATAAGAGCTCTGAATTGATTTGAAGCATCTGAATCAATTTGGAAAAGCTTCAGAAAAAGATTTGGCTGATTCGGATATTCTGCCATAGACTAAACAGGCAGCTGACAGCTGCCTCCAGCT